AATAGACTGTATCGTGAGCCTTGGGGTTTGCAGGTCACACCGAGTCAGAACTTTAACCCTATAAAACCATTCGTATCATATTTGATACGTGAGGTTTCTGAGCAAATAGAATCGCCAAAAATGCCCCATGTATCAAATGTGATACAAAAGAAATAGAAATAATCTAAACAATATGGCACCTCTATTCCTATATGCCTGGACTTTCTGTCTATGCATATATGGCAAATAAAAATCGTGAATCTTGAATTTCGAATCATGAATTTTATTTTTGAATTTTGTTAAAAGGATTAATAAACATCTCAGTTCCAAAAAATTAGAATGTTCTAGCTATTTTTTGATATGTTGGGCTTTACAGGGCTATGGGCCCTCCCCTAGATCCAAATTACTAACACAATTAGCTTATTAATCAATATTATTTTTCTTTCAATCAACACATTTTTTGGACTTATTTGGGTTAGGAAACTGGACAATGATTTTTCTTTTACTGGAATAGCACAGTCAGTGAAAAAAGGGTAAAGGCAAAGATCAAGTAAGAAGCATGAGACAAAGCAGTTACCGAAGATGAGAGACAGAGAGCAAAAGAAAATCATGCTATGGTGGTGCACACAGAGCAAAAGAGAGGGGAAGAACTGAAATGAAGACCTGCAGAGGTAGAGAATGAGACAGAGAGAAGGGAGTTACAGAAAATGAAGAACAAAGAGAATGAAAAGCCAAAAGCAGGGAGGCATTTTTATTTGATTTGATTTTTTGCCATCTCTGTTATTGTGAGTAGCTGGTACCACTTCATGTATTAGATCCTGAGCACAGCTGAAGAACAAGAAAAAGGAACTTCAAAAGTAACGGCGACGTGCAAGGCTTGTTTTAGAGACAAAGACCAAGGAACAGACTGAGAGGACAAGTTGCTGTTTTACTAATTTCATATCCAAAGTCTCTTTCTTCTTCACTTGCAGTCAAGAAAATGTTCAATAGTGCTTATTTCACCAAGTAAAGGGTTTTATATGACCTCACAGTCTAAAACTCCAAAGTGGAAATTTGAACTAATTATGATTGTTTGTGTACGAACCTTAACCGAATCATCACTCTAGAATATTATGATTTACACTTTGGGGACTTGCTTTTTGTTCCCATAAGGACATTGAGTCGCTGCTATGTACCATATTTGCGTACACACACACACACACACACACACACACACACACACACACAATGTCGAATATGGCCAGAAGCATATTTTTGTAATTACCATGTATAAATATATTATTAGAAAATATACTGATAGGCTTTGAACTGAATGTTCATTCTCATCATATTTTTGAACCATCAGGGTTTAAGTAAAATATCTCCTGGCAGAGTTAGGTTTTTTTTTTTACTAAGGGAAAAGTATCAGCACCACATGAGGTTACACTTCCCCGGTAAAAATAAAGCCACAGGGATTGTGAGATGACTAACAAAGTAGAACAGAACAAAAACAAAGTTGTGTTACATTTACTTTTTATGGAATATTCCCTCATCTTTGTCTTTTTTTACAAAATATAAGATGATTTGATGCAACTGAGTCTCAGTTATTGAAATTAAATCATCTGAAAACTCCTTACAGACAGCTTAAACAAGGTAAGAAACCCCAACTAGACACCGCTTGTTTTTAGTCAAAAATATTGAGGTTTAATATTTAACAACTTGCTATATTTTACATGAGTTTTTAGGTGAAATCGTCATCTAAAACGTAAGCCCCAATTCCTACTGTCAAGTAAATGTTAGGGAGCATCTGTAAAGCACTTTGAATTGCATAACGCTGTGTGAAAGCTCCAGGTCCAAATAAAGTCTGAATGACTGATCATTTATATTTGTATTCTTATAGCGATGAGGCAGGTGAAGAACCACAGCGGTGGACATGTAGAGCCCAGTGAGTCACTAAATGTGATTTTTACCTCTCAAGTCAATTAAACTTCAAGACATCTGAAATATTTTGAGATTTGGTTGAGAGTCAGTGGATACTGTATTCCAGAGTGATAAGACAAAGTGCTAAGGGCAACGCAGAGGTAAGGAGACAGGCAGTGTGATGACAGGGTGGTGGTATAGCAGCCGGTGGAGCAGATCTATCAGCTGCTGAGCCACGATGGATGGCTTCAACTGCAGATATTATTACAGTTAATGATTCACCTCAAGTGGCCATTACTTAGCTATAATCTGTCTCCTCCTCACTTGGGTTTTTTCATAAGAAAAAAGTGAATGTCCATTAACATCTGATACTATCTGACCTGTTAGTGGAAATACCATTTCTCCATCTGTTTTGATAGCAACAGTGCGACTGTGCGAACACTGCTGGAGAAAGCCCAAATCTATTCACCAAATCAAGCTACATTTGTATCATATGACATAAAGCTTTAGCACCGAGATTCATCACTAATTATTACAACAAAAGCTTGTCTGGTACTTCAGGGAAAGCTGAGTTGCTCTTTTATCTGACAAGGCTGGATTTAAATGAACAAATTAAAAGTCCAGATACAGTACAAACAAAATTGAGGCTCAGAGTTAAAGGCTCATCAGATTATAAAAACAAAGAGGGAGAACCACCGAACAGAACCTAGGCAAGTTCTGTGCTGTTATCATTTTGCTAACACTGCTTTTCTAACTTATTCTGAAGTAAAACTCTAAAGCATGTTTTTTTTTTTTCCAGAGCAGTAGTTCACCTGAAACTGGTGAGCAAGAATCATTAAATATGAGTGACTGAACTGGGTTCCTGGAGAACAGGCATAAGAAAAACAACCACAAGATCATTCCAGTTCAATTCGGTTTGTGTTATTGGCGTTTCTAGACACCTGCTCAGTATGCAAGGGTTCCTGCAGCTCTTCTGTTTCAGCATCATTTTGACCATTGTTTTTCCCAGCAGGCAACACAACACTCTTCTGGCATGTTCCCACCAACAGCAAGTGACTGCATTAGCAAGAAGAGGATACAGTAGACAGATAGGCTCTCAGGGGTACAAAAAGCTAAGGGTCCAAAAAGGTCTCTTTCCTGCGTGGATATAAAGAAGATAAACCGTGCACAGCACTCCTTCAGAATGCTGAAAGACACTGGCTTAGCTTAAGACCAAGCACGTTACTGCAGTGGCCTTAAAGGGAACAAATGATTAAAGTCAGGGCAGGGCTCTACACTCACATTCATTTTTAGAGGCACTGGTATCCCTAAATGAAAAAGTTAGAGGCACAGACCATTGTTCTCTTAAATAAACAGCAAACATTCACCATGAAACATACAGAATGTGTTACACACAGGGAAAACCTGACTTAACTAGAAGATTACTGCAGAATGCATTGTACTTGATTACTGCATATTTTCTAACATTAATAGATGAATGAATTCTGTATGAATTCTCTTGGACCTGAAATTAGGGTTGGGATTTTTTTCTGCCTGAATCCAGCACTGAAATTCCTTATAATCTTTGGTCATGCCATTTATTTTTACTGTTGAACTTATTAAAGTTAAAATTATGAATAACTAAAAAAAAAAGAAAAAAAAACAATAGCTACGGCCTGAAAAGGAAAGGACTGAGTTTCATCCTAACAGTGCTCAGTATACACAAGTAAAACAAATATGTATGTATACATAGCAGTACAAAATATCACATGCTGATTAAATACACAGTATAATTACACAGTGATAAAATACTGACTTGCTTCAAATACTGAAAGTCCTGATGTGACACAATCAGCCAATTTACTAGAGAAGACGTCTCCTCCGTTTGAGTTGTTGGAACTACAGAAACAGTCCACTGATTGTTCTCTGGTGTTTCACAGTGATGCCTCATAAATTATAACCAATCTTTGGTTGAGTACAGACAGCGAGACAGACAGCAGTGTCGAGGCCTCTTCTCTCACCAGCTTCCACAGAGCACAGAAGCTCAACAGTCATTGAATTAATGTTATTTAGTGGCAGCAGCTGAGAGTCTGCTGTTTGACATTTTACAGGCAACAGAGATGACCAGCACTGGTTAAAAATGAGAAGCTGCTCCTTGAATAATTTGTACACAGAGCTTTGCTAACAACAGTGTCAGAACTAAAGGGCCACTGGCACTGGTGCACCCAAATAATCTGTCATGTTTGCACACTATAGATCAGGCTAGAGCTCAAGTTCAAGAAGGTTAACAGAAACAGAAAGCTGGTGTAATGTTTGCTCATTCTTTAATATGTCTGTTAACAGGGGGTCAAGCTGACATACATCATCACTGATAATGTGTAAATACACCTAATAATGGTAGAAGCACCTTCCTGAGAGTTCTGTAAAAGCTTCCTAGACCTTCAATGAGTGAAAAACAGGCTATTTTACATATAGTCATGGCCAAAAATATTGGCACCTCTGCATTTCGGTCAGATAACGCAGCACTTCTTCTGTTGCAATCACAAAGTCTTCAGTATTCTCATGTTTATTTTCATTTGTTTGCATTGGAACAACAAAAGCAGAGAGAAAAGCCAGTTCTAACTGGCTGCCAGTGGGATTTCTATATTGCCAGCAACTGTTGATTGCTACAGATGAGTTTCATTACAAATTAAAGGGGCATCACACATTTGAAATACAACTATTTCTGATGCTTTTGAAAAGGTGTCAATAATTCTGTCCAGTCCATTTCTGTGTGGAATGGATCAGATCTGGCTTTAATTTCTGCTTTTTGTGCTGTTCCAATGCAAACAAGAGTGGTGAGTTATCTGACAGAAATGCAGGGGTACCAGTATTTTTGGCCATGACTGTATATTTGCATTTTAATACGCAGGTCACCAAGTTGTCCCCCTGTGTCAAATGTGCCTGCAGAAACTAAACACAGAATACGATGGATGCTTTGGTGCATGTACACACATACCCTGTTATTTTAATCTTCTTTTATGTATGACTGTTTTTCTTGGAATTGGGCCTTTAATAAGGGCCTTTAACAATGCTCAATGTTAACATAAACAGACACAATTAATAGCTGAATAAAGAAACTGCATGTTAATTCTGTGTGCTACCTGGTGGCAGGAAGGGTGCTGACTCTGGTGAAGAACACAGAAGGCTCCACATCCACATGGACTCCCAGAGACAGTTCCCTGTAGTAGCCCTCCACTTTGCCTACTCCCCCAGAGTACCTGAAGCTCAGCACTGCTTCCAAAGCCTGCAAAATGAAAGGAAATACATTTAAATCAAGCTGGTTTGGCAGTGTGCTACATTTAAAGACTGTGTCTGGGGTCAGAGGTCATAGCCAGCATGCTGTGTCCTGCCATTCCATCAGTAAAACTGGTGTGTTTTTGAGACTGATGCAACAAAAGTCACAACAAAAAAAAATACAGTAAAGGCACCACAGAGCAGCTATTGTGCTGCTTCATGAAATGGAAGTATAAATAGTTAGAAACCCTGAGAAGTGGGGAGGGGGTGATTGGCTGATTTAGAATTAACACACCTTGTCCCAAAACAGTATAAGAGAAGAGGGGCTGCTGCAGTATGTGGACTTTGCCAGCTGTGGTCCACAGTAACAGCAGGCTGAACGAACACACAGAATTGCTCAGAGGTATTTTGCGGAGAGGGAGGCACAGGATAAGCAGCCAGGTGTACAATAGATGTGGAAATTAAAAGTGGCAGTTTATGTTGAGGGTGCACTAGCTGACTCAGCCAGTGGGCTAAAGCAGGGTAAAGGGAACATCCAAGGTCCCGCTTTTCTCCCAGTGCAGCATATATCATCTCTCCGCATATTGCTGATGGAGGATCTGGCTGTGCCTTTCCAGAACAAATTTCACCAATTCCTTGATTATTTTCTCTCTTTATCCCCTCTTGTTGGGGCACAGAGCCAAAGTAGAATGATGTGGAGCCTGTTAGCTACTGTAGATGTCTGGTCTATGACAGCCTAATGACAAAAGCACAGCACACACAGCAACAGGACTGTTGTAGACCAAACACCTACATTCAAACTTTACACTGCAGAGGCATGGTTCTCATATTTGCTATATTTCCATGTCGTAGATATGCCTCTACTTTTTATTGCCTTTGAATATTCTAACGCCATCCGCAGTGTTACGTCCCTAATGCACTTTGTGTTAAAAAGCGACATCTAGCTAGACATCACCATATGACCATCACTGTGCCCGAGTAGCACTTCACATGGATGTGAGGCGACTGTTGACTGAGGCTGTATTAGTCTTGTTATTGCTCACAATCACTTTCACCCATGAACACCAGCTACAGACATGTTTTAAAACACATTGACTAATAATGATAATGTGCAATAATAACTTTACTGGGAATAATAACTTGTGTCTGACAAAAACATTAAATTACCAAGTTACAAATATCTAAAATTATATCTACTCCTCGGTCCTAATTAAATATGCAAATATTGCTCATTCAAGTCTTTCTTCCGGACACAAAATGTCTCCTGCTTCTCTGAAGATGTATGTGCACTGGAGGCTTCAAAGTAACAGGCTTCCAAAGAAGTTAATGTCACAAAGTCATGCTCGTACAATAGGCACACAACGTAAACTCAGATTTAAGGTGAATGCAGAGAAACTTTCCCGGTTCAACAGCTGAAGGTGAAAACAACTGATAGTGGCAAACTCAGCAAACCTGTCAAGGGAATTCTTCCTGTATATTTGAGAGTTGGTACTGTAGGTCTGAAAAATTTAAGACTCAGCCCGTGGGCCAATTTTTTTTATTTTTATTTATTTTTTTTTTTTGAAGTTAGGAGAGAAGGACAAAACAGCAATGCTGTCGTTCTCTGGGCAGGACATTCAAATGCCTGCTTTTTATAGTTATGTAAAACTTGAAGCTGACTTAGTTACAGTTAGCTACAAAAGAGAAACTCAAATTGCACAGTACGATGATCAGCCATAGCATTATGACCACTGACAGGTGACATGAACACTGATTATCTTATTACTGTGGCACCTGTCAGTGTGTGGCGTGTATTAGGGAGCAAGTGAACATTCAGTCCTCAAAGTTGATGTGTTGGAAGCAGGAAGAACTGGGAAGTCTAAGGATCCGAGTGACTTTGACCAGGGCCAAGCTGTGATGGCTGATGACTAGGTCAGAACATCTCCCACACTGCAGGTCTTGGTGGGTTCCTGGTCTGCAGTGGTCAGTACCTACCAACAGTGTCTAAGGAAGGACACACAGTGAACCAGCGACATGGTCATGGACGCCCATGGCTCACTGATGATGACTTTGACCTACTGCAGATTAAACTTCTACATTTCATTCATCCTTTTCAAAAGCTTCCATTTTGTTTGACTCTGTTAAAATGGGTGAAAATGAGAAACACTGTACACTGGTCTCTATGAAGAGAAACATTCAGCAGCTACAGTGGTGATATCACACTTAGAGTGGGGAGGCTGTTGATTTGGTTGAAAAATCTCTCTCTAACCTGTCCTCACAACCAGTTTCACTCCTTTTACATAGGTTTCTCACTGAATGGTCGATACAGTCGTGCTTTTCCTGACAGTATATGGAAACAAACAGATTCACAGAAGATACACAGTGAGCTGCAGAGTGACACGAGTGCCGTCCAAACTGCTGCACTGACTCCTGTGTTCACAGCATCAGGCAGGTTGCTCATAAAGCTATGGCTGACTGGTGTATATTCACATGTAGACACTCGAGGTGCCAATGTATGTCTTTAAATTCCTCAGACAACCAAGTCAAGTAACAATAAGCTAAACACATTTTAACAGAGGGCTTGTTTTATTAGCCAACAGCACTGTAGCTTACTTTACACCACACAGTAGTTGAGAGATACTAATATAATTTATTCTGCAAGAATTTCCAAGAGAAAGACTGCCCTCATGATGGAATCATCAATAAAGGATGATTGATAAAGGCTGCAAATTAAACTCCTGATATCTGCTCGGAATACTCTTTTCTTCACAATCTGTGGAGCCAGTCTGCTCTGGATCTGGAAGAGGAGAAGCAGCCCTACAATCAGGCAAGAGAAAGGCTCATGCTGTGCTGGCAACAGAATGAAAGGCACAGCACGTTGATATGAATCTCATTTGAATTGATTGACTGAAATCGCTCAGATTCCTGGAGCAGAGTCGCTGGCTGGAGGTGATTTCCAAAAGTGTGTGTTTTCTCTACAACAATGTTTTCTTCCTGTTTGCTGAAGGATAAGGCTGGCATTTTTTTAATCTCAAGAGAAAAACAACTTCATCCTTCTAGCAATATTATCTAAAGCCTGATAATGTTCTACTGCTGCTCCAGCACTACTGTTGTCTGAAACCTCTTTCAAGTACATGATAGAGCCAGACTATTTCAGAAGGTTATACATTGCTTCATAACAATAAACGCGCCCACTGCAGGATATAGTATATTCTGCTTAAAAATGCAGTCCTCTAATTGTGAGAACAAACGTTAAAAATATGCAGTTCATTTGTCTTTTGAGTCATCAAGTGCTGTGTTACATCCAGCTGTGTGATCTTGTGGCTGCCTGTGTGATACTAATGGCCTCAACATGATTCTCTTGAGGAACAGTGATTGGCTCAGTGACACTAGCAAACAGCGACTGTGCACTCCGATTCTCACAGCAGACCTCTGTTCGATCCTCTCTCCCTGCTCTCAGTTCCCTTGGGACTCTATTTCAATCACACTGGGCTTAAAAGAGGCCCTGCTGTAATGAGCTGACTGTGTTTGGAGTAGGCCAGTAGCAACACACAGCCTAAGCAAACAGACTGACCACACACATGCAGTGCTGTACCTTTGTATGCATACTAACAGCATGATTAGTGAGAGTGCCCAGATTAAAGTAAGAGGTCGATTCAGGCTGTCACCATCGCAGACAACCGAAGCCTGCATGAGCTGTTTTATGTTCAAGTCAGTGTCTTGGAGCTTGTAACCAAAAGCAAACAACAAATATAAAGGCAATAGAAAATGGATGTCTTGAATGATGTAGAACTTGGAGATTTTTTTTTATTAATTGGTGTCTTTTACAGTGTGACACTTAGTGGCAGATATAACTAAATAAATGCTACTGTTTTGCAAACAATACTGTACGAACAGCACATGTGAAGCACATTCATACACCCAGTGAGCTAACCAAAGATCACAAATGTGTCTCAGAGGCATTTTACAACCTGTACAAAATAAAACACCCTCTGTCCTAAGCCTCTCAAAGGACAAAATTCAAAGACCCCACACGCAAGTCCTTTTCAGATATGCAGTACAACCCTGAACCTGTCTGGATATTACACCGATAATGCGAGAACACAAAGGTCCAAATCACCTGAAGTGGACATTAAAATGACTTTACCCTGGCACCTACCAATGTCCAGCTGAGCCTATGTGTGAATAGAGCAGGCTGCTGTCCAGAGAATTCACAAGCTAGTGAGCGTGTTGATAGCGTTTCTATCACGCAACTGGTGCAAAACAGAAGACTAGACGCATCTGCTCTACCTCCTGCAGGCTCTAAACAAGAACCCCACCCCCACCAAACACATTATTTTTAGTAGTAGACACAGACAACCTCCTGATGTGTGCTACATGTATGAAAGTGCAACTCCAGAAAACGTTGAGACCCGATTCTTTGGATACTGTATTATATTAATCATATGAGAAAACAGCTTCAGAAAATAAAAAGGCTTCTTATATTACTATTAGAAAACTAAAGGTAAAATCTCCTGCCTTGCTTAGATCTTCCACCTTGAGATAACACTATAGTGCAACTGGAGTTATGAAGTGTTTAACCATTTTACATCTAATGTAGGGATCTTTGTTATAAGTAAAGTGGGAGATTATAAAAAGCCAAACATAAAGGTCATTTTGGTAACAAGCAACAGCATCCAGTTTACACAGAAGTAGACCAGGATATTCACATCTTCACAGGTCACCAGACACGGGGCGATTCTTTAACCCTGCTCGACCTCCACCCAACACAGGTCAAAAGGTTAATGTGGAAAGAGATCAAAAGGTGAACCCCTTGCACATGGAGTGTTTCCATGTCAAAATGGATATCTGACCACATTAAAAGACATGGTTTACATTGCAGGTAAGATGTACTTTCTGCAAGTTATGATAGAATTTGCTGATTTTAATATTCATCAACCATTTGAAAACTCCCTGAATGATTTTATGTTTGTAAGGATTTTTTCTTTCACAGTCACTGATCTTATAAAAATAAATCTTATCTTGTATCAG